GGTGGGTGAGTGGATTGCTGGGAGAAGGAAGGGGGTCGATAGCCAAAGAGAGATGAAAGAAAGTATATACTAGAATATTCTATGTTGTATGTATAACCTTGTTATATGCGTGGGATTTTCTTTCTCGTTAGGTGCTTATATGTATATATGTATATATGTAGGTGTATATATATATATATGTATATATATATATAGAGAGGGTTTTTGTGTATATGTATATATGTGATACACGTTTGTGTATGTATATATATATATATATATATATATATATATATATATATATATACGTGTTAGTGTCTCGTGTAATCTAGCGATTAGTAAGAACGATAATGGATAATCAATATGAGGAAATTGGGACGTTAATCAAACGATAATGATAATAATAATAATAATAATAATAATAATAATAATAATAATAATAATAATAATAATAATAAGCAATAATAAGAGTAATTGTAATATAAGAATATTAATAATAATTAATAATTAATAATTAATAATAATAATAATAATAATATAATTAATGATAATTAATTAATAATAATATAATAATAATTAATAATAATAATTAATAATAATAATTATTATATACGACAATGTTAGCTGATAAGACATGAGAGATTTTGTATAATCAACTTTCGCTTTGTTTGTTTTTTTTTCTTCTTCTTACTAACTCTTTCGCTTAATTTAGTCTCTTTGCATTTCGCAGTTCGACAGGTGATCGATGGATCTATTACAGATGAGTTTGTATTTTCGTCATTAATTTACAAATGAAGCGCGCGATTTACACAGATGAAGGAACTATCGCCATTCCTTAATTATTATTATTACAAGTCCACGCTGTAGTACTTTATTTATATAATATTTCGCGTTGGTTTATTTCATTTTATTTTGTTTTATTTTTTCTCTTTTTTTTTTTTCAAACGGTAAAAGGGGGGCGGCGGGGGTCTCTCCTGTCGCGACTCGAGAAAAAGGGTGTACAAGTGTGGCGTTTGGAATGTCTTGTTGTTTGACCGGCTTTTGTTTTGTTGTTTTTTGTTTTTGTTTTTTATTATTATTATTATTATTACTGTTGTTGCTGTTGTTGTTATTATTGTTGTTTTCGTATTTCGTTTTGTTTCATTCTCTCACGAAAAGCTCGTTAGATCCAATATCCGTTATATTAGAGTTTTTAATTTTTCTTTTTCTTTGCAACTTTGATTTATTTGTTATCGCGAAATTGGCCGCGTACTCTCAGCGATTTTCAAACATGGATCATTGTTTCATATATATATATATATATATATTTATATATACCCCATCATTCCTTTTATTATTTTCAATTCTTTTACACTTCTCGAATTTTTTTATAATCAACGATCATAATTTTTTTTTTGTTTTCTTAAACGTTCATACTCAAAAATCCTATGTGGCTTTATCATCAATTTTTGTTTTAACCGCTCAACCATCTCTCTCTTTCTCTCTCTCTCTCACATTCTCTCTTTCTAACATTCCTAATTTTCATCCTAAAATTTTTCTTTTATTTATACGTTCCCTTTCTTTATATCTTTCGATCGCGACGATGCACACGTACGTTACGATTATTTCATCTCGACTCATATTCAAAGGGATGAAGGTGGGAGGGGAGTAGGAGGAAGGGAGGAAAAAAGAGAAAGACTAAGAAAGAGGACGGGCGAGGAGGGTCGGGCGTAGAGGGGGGAGAGGAGATTGTACCTAAGAATTTGTCAACTTTTCGTTAATAAATCGTTATTTACAATATTTTACAAAGAAAGCTGCGATATTTTTCCTCTTTTATTCTTTTCCGTCGATAATCATATTTTATTTCCATTTCTTATTCGATTCCATTTTCATTCCTTTCTTTACTTTTGTTCAATTGCTCTTTTTCCTTTTTTTGTTTATTCTTATTCTTTTTTTTTTTTTTTTTTGTTATTATTATACAAAATCACAACATACGCGAGTCTCTCTCTCTCGAGATAAATAGAGTTATTTTCTCTCGTATTATCCTTCGTCATTCATGAGTGAAAAATACCGACTTATCGCGGACAACAGCCTACGTTCTCAATGGTATATTTATTTATTATATGTACATTGTAGTAAGAGTCAAGTATGAAACTCAATCGAATATACACACGCGATCGCCACTACCCTTTTGACAATTTATTTTTCTTTCGTTTTTCTTTCTTTTTTTTTGTTATTTTATTTATTTATTTATTATTAATCCAACTGTCACCGTCATTTTCATTTTCCTTCCCTTTTTTCCTTCCTTCCTTCCTTTCTTTTTCAATATTTATACGTGTTCCTACGTGTTAGAGGAAAAACCTTTAATTAATTAAATCCGTGCTACCGATTCTTCCTTTATCTTTCTCTTTGTTGAACGTTAAAAAAAAAAAAAAGGAATATATATATATAAAAGAATAACAAAAAATTGACGATCAGTTTAGCCACATACGATTCGAGTGAGAGCGAGTAATTATTTTACAAATTTTTCATTTGACAAACGAAAGATCATCATCATCATCATCATCATTATCATCATCATTGTCTTAGATTGATCGATAATTTTTTTAAATAAACATTCCGAATGGATTGACTCATTTTATCTCTTTAATTCTCTCTCTCTCTCTCTCTCTCTTTCTCTTTCTCTCTTTTAAGTTATTAAAAATAAAATAAAAGAGAGTAAACATGAGTTTGGAAAGTACGAAAAAATATTGTGGAAAAAAAAAAAACTAACAAAGTGTTTAAAAATCTTTCTCTTTTTGATACATCATTGTTATTATTGTTATTATTATTGTTATTATTATTATTAATATTAATATTAAATCATTATCATCATCATCATCATCATCATCATCACTATCATCTCATCATTACCATTTATTATAATTATTATTATTATTATAAAATCTTGAATGTGGAAGGTGTAGCCATCGTGATCGCGATGAAAATAGCTGAGAGGCGGGCTTATTATTTCAAATTGTCGTTATTCCATATATAGTCATTAATAATATAATACAAAGTGGGAAAAAAAAAAAGAATTATGTAATCAGTGTGCCGGTAATACATGGAGAATATAGAGGGGAGGTGGGGATGAAAAAATAAGAGGGGAGATGGCGCAGAAATAATATATCATACACACCTTTTTTTTTTGTGCACATTATTTTCCTGACGATTTTTTTCTTTTTGTTTGTTTGTTTGTTTGTTTGTTTAAGAACGCGGTTATCGTTTATACAATATACAATAAGTTTTTAGTTACGTTCGAAGATTACCGTAAACGCTGCAATCATTTGAAAATTAGGAAAGGACGGATAAATAGGAGAGTATGTGGATGGAAAAAGAAAGACATAGGATGAGGTGAAGGGGAAAGTTAGAGTAATTCTAGATATAAGAGAGGAAAAGAAAAGGAGAGGGAGGCAGGAGGGAGGAGGAATTTCTTTTTTTCATTCTTTTTTTCTTTCCTAACGCGCTTATACTTTTGTCAAAAATATTTATATTTTACATTTGAGAAAAGGGATGCGTGGAATAGGGAAAGGAAAAAATTTCTATGGTATGAGATTTGGACATATTAAAAAGGATCGTAAAAAGAAGAACGAGAATATATATATATCTTATACATATATATATATATAACATATACATACATATATACACACACATATACATATATATATATATGTATGTATGATGTTAACTCATTCATTCATATTTTCTTTAATGAAAGAGGAGAAGGAAGGAAGGAGAGGGTAAGGAAAGGATATGGAAGAGAAGGAGGAACAGCAATAGCAGCAGCATATTTAGGGAACGTAAACCACATATTTAAATTTAATATAATTAGTAATTATTATAATATACAATATACACAGAGTCCGTTAAAAAAGAGGGAATTCCCGTGAGAAACAAAATATCCGTTTTTAATTTACGCTTCTTCGCGCGATCGGATGTCACGTCGTACCTATACACATTTGTTATTTATTTATATCACAATTTACAAAATTCGAGGGATCTAAGGGAGATTGGGAAGATTTGGGGGAGAGGGGGGGACTTTCGAAGGAGAATGTGGGGGAGGAGATAAAGGTTTGGTTGATGGATGTGTGAGAGAGAGGTAATATATAAAAAAAAAAAAAAAAAAAAAAAAAAAAAAAAAGGACAAAAAACAGAAATAAAACAGGAAAAAAAAACAAAAAAAAAATCAAGAAAAGAAAAAATAAACAATGGCGCCCGTACTTTATACGATCGGAGGGCAACGAATGTAAAACGAAAAAAAAAGGAGAAAAAAAATATATATATGTATGTATATATATGTGGTAATGTCGGCACATTATTTCTCCTTATTCTTTGCCTGTCTTTCCTTTCTAAGTAAACCACACGTATTAGAGAGAGAAAAAAATATATATATATATAATAATAATAAAAAATAAAGATAAAGAGGAAGAAAGAAAACAAAATAAATATATATGTGTATATATATACATATATATATGGATACATATATATATATATACATATATATATATACACATATATAAGTAGGAAAAGTAAAAGAAATGAGGGAAAAAAAAAGAAAATTAGAAAATAATAATAATAATATTAATAATTATATCTTTCCGTTCGCCTCCGAAATTTGTCACGATGTAAAAAATGAGCGATTATTAAAGTTGGTCTTTTTGTTTTCTTTCAATATGAACGTTCGAAGCAGTCAGGGGGCAGATGATCATCAGCGGTCAAGGTCAAATCAGTGGGTGCTTCAGTTAGTTAATTTATTAGTATGTATGTATGTATGTATGTATGTATGTATGTATGTATGTATGTATGTATGTATGTATGTATGTATGTTTTATGTATGTTTTATGTATGTATGTATGTATGTATGTATGTATGTATGTATGTATGTATGTGTTTGCTTGTTTTTGCTTTGTTCTCATGTCAAATGCTAATGTATCTGTATAACTCCTAATCTTTATTCTCTCAAACTCTTCACCTTACTTCATCTTTGTTTATATTTGTTGCAAATACGTGCTTTGATCAAGTATATACCGCGAAACGAGGGGAAAAGAAAAAAAAAAAAGAAAAAAGAAACCCGCACGAAAAAAGAATAGAAAAGAAAATTAAAAAAAAAATTAAAAAAAAAAAAAAAAAAAAAAACGCGAAAAATTTCGGACTACCGTTTCGTTTTACATGCAGAGACTCGCGAAAGATTTATGAATAAGATGTTGGTTGAGCATCTTTTCGCGACTTCTTTTTTTTTTTCTTTTGCTTTTTTTTTTTTGCTTTTACGATTATTTAAACGCTGCTTATTATATTTATTACGCGGTACATGCTTGTCGCGCGCGCGCGCGCAATACAATATAAATGCATCCAGCACACTAACAACTATGCTAGCTGGCTCTAACATCCCCTTTTTAGTAGTTTTTCTCTCTTTCATCCACGATCCTTTTTTTTTTATTTTCTTTTTTCCTATGCCGAGTTTCTCTTACTATAGCCGACAAACTCACTTCGAATCGCTCTTATTATTACGCACTTTTACGATTTAATACATCTGCGCGAAATACGGTCATCTCTCTCGGCTCCTAATCATCGTCGAAATCTGTCTCACTCTCTCTTTCTCTCTCATTCTCTCATTCTCTATCTGTCTCTCTCTCTTTCTCTCTCTCTCTCTCTCATTCTCTCATTCTCTGTCTCTCTCTCTCTCTCTCTCTATCTCTCTCTCTCTCTCTCTCTCTCTCTCTCTCTCTATCTAGCCCTGTTTTTAGTTCTAAACACATTAGCAGAGTTGCTGCTTTAACTTCTACAAACCTTTCGATAACACTTTTCGATCTTTAATCATTATTTATGTGAGATTTAATCATATCTCTTCGAACGATTTCTTTTATATATGTCAGCATATATATATATATATATATATATATATATATATATATATATATATATATATCCATCTTAGCCGCCACGATTAATTTCGCGTATATTCGTTTATCTATCAGTTTCATTCTTTCTTTTGTTCTTTTTTCTTCTTCTTCTTCTTCTTCTTCTTGTTGTTGTTGTTATTATTATTTTGTTTGTTTGTTTGTTTATATATAACATGCCCATAGCTTACCGTCTTCTCAAACGAAAACTCATTGACGAACGTCATTAATAATGCTAACCTCTTTACGATATTTGAATACAATTCAATTAATACATGAAACTCTCGAAGAATATATTTTCTTCTCTAATAATGCAACGATAGAAAAAATGCACTATCGCACACCTTTCCTTTCTCTCTTTCTTTCTTTCTTTCTTTCTTTCTTTCTTTTTTTTTTTTCTTAACCATCGAATCTACGAATTTGCGTGTTCTTTTTCTTTCTTCCTTTTTCGTTTCCCCTTTTTCGGAGACACTTATTTTTCATGAAAGAAAAAAAATATATATATATATATGTGTGTATATATATATATATGTGTGTGTGTCAGTGTATGTGTATATATATATATATCGTGCCATGATTCTCATTTTATCAATGAAATTTTCGAAAATCTGTACAAATAACGTAAGTTTAATAATGCTGTAAGAAATAATAACAACCATCCATTCTTTGCATTAACGAACCTGCTAAATTCTAGATTAATTTTTTTACTTTTTTTTTTCTTTCTTTCTTTCATTCTTTCTTAGTATGTTATACTTGAAGAAAGATAATCATAACGTAACTCTCGAAATGCGTAAAATATGGTGATGTAAACAGATAAATGTAGAATGATGAGCCTAGTCGATGTTTACCGTAAAGTATGGTGGTGTCGGGCATGTGAAAATTTTCTGCTTATTTGGTGGGAGGGGGGGAGAGAAGAGAGTTTCAAAAATCGTGCGCTTATAAAACCTGCGTGGACTGTTGCGCCGGCGTAGAAACAGTACCAGCAGCGGATGCTGGAGGTCCGATCGGTCCAAGATCTCCGCTATTATTCGAGGCACCAGCTGGCGTTGATACTCCCATAGCGGATGCTGTCTTCATGAAGAATTTTTCTAATTTAACGATTATATGCTTGCCATACGTATACTTGCGGAGACTTCCTAAATGCGGGCGAATCTTGTGCATCAACACTTTACGTTGTGCAGGCTCTGCCACATCTATCATCTTCTGTACCACGTAATTAGCGTATTGATCCTTCATCATAACATTGAGCGCGCTAGTTTGCAAACAAATCAATCGAATAATCATATAATTAATAAGTTCAACATTATATATATATACATATATATATATATATATATATATATATATATATTCCTTAGTTGTGCACATCTCAAAATAATTTTATCCCAGGAATGCTCTTTGAGCAGCCATCATTTATATAAAATGAACAATTTTAACTTCCAAAAAAACACTATATATTCTTTGAAGCCTCGGAAATAATCATCAGCAGATTTGAAAACGTATTTCCAATTCGATCATAAAAAAAAACAAAAACAAAAAAAAATTCATGAATCATGCAATGCGCAAATTGTTTTAACTGAACTCAAAGTTGGTATGGGATATCTTACAACTAGGGATATATATATTGGTATGGGCTATTCCACATGTACAACTAGATATATATATATATATATATATATATATATATATATATATATATATATAATAAAATGTATAATAAAAAAAAATTTATTTACTTGTCATTAAAACCGCAAACTTCTTCAATGAGAACGGCGCGTTCCTGTCTCGTAGCATGGGTAACACATTTTTCCACAACATTGCTTGCAAATTTGTGTTGTGATAGTGCAAGTACTTTACCCCTGACGCTACTAATCAATTGTGTTTTATCCTCTGGCTTTCCATGCTCTAAGACGAAAGTTAATAAAGCGATTTATAAGAAAATAAATATAGATAGATAAGGATAGGAATTATATCGTATAAATAATTTTACTCACCGAGTACATGCTGAATGACGTAATTACCATATTGATCCTGTATAAGCTGATCGGTGGCGGCATGCAATTCTTGTAAAATCCCTTGTGTTTGTTCAGGAGTGCAATGTTCCAATATACGTTGAATTACTCTACATCCATACGGATGAGTACTCAATGAATAAACTTGTCCAGCAAATGCACCGATAACAAACTGTAATGCTCTTGGTTCGACGCATTCGATACATTTTTGAACAACGTGATTTCCATTTTGATCTTTAACGCATTTCAATACATGCCCATCTAATTCTCGTACAATTTCTTGTTGCTGTTCCGGCCCAATAGATTCAAGAGCCTTTTGTATTACTCTGCAGCCATACATCTGTAGTGCCAAAGGTAACACATGGCCTCGAACCTACAATTTGTAAATTATATATTCGTTTGAGAAAGAAATATATTTTTTATTTCATTTTATATATATATATATATTTTTTTTAATATTGATATATAACTATTAATGCAAATAACAGATTCATATATATATATATATATATATATATATATATATATATATAGTGTGTGTGTGTGTGTGTACAATAATCATACCTTTTGCGCTAAAGTAGATTTTTGTTCGGGCGTTCCAAATTCAAAGAACTTTTGTATAACATAATTCCCAAAAACGTCTGTCATAAGAGAATAAGCAGAAGCAAGTATCTCTTGAAATACGAGATGTTTCTCGCTGGCAGAAGCACGTTCTAATTTTTGTTGAATGAAACGTGAACCATGTTGATCTTGACTGAACTCAACGATATGATTAACCAAATCACGTAATTGAAGACTCGGGAATCTGAAAGAGAATAGACAATTTTTGTAATTTATTCATGGAGAATGTATTTCTATATATATTTTAAAGTATAAAATTGAAAAAGGACAATAACCGATTATTTCTAAAATCCTCCAAAAGACGAGATCGACCTCCAGCATTTTTATCCCCGATATTCGTAGCTCCGGTACGGCCTGCTTTACCGACCAAATTTGGGAAAAGAGAACTGCTCGAACCGAATACACCATTAGCTGTTAATGCTGGTACAGCGCTTGCACGGAATTTAGCTTCGGCACCTGGAGCAGCTGATACTCGATTCGCACCTCCTACAAGTCCACCCAAAGATCCTCCCAAAGTTGGTGGTGGAGTTAAAGATAATCCTAATGGACTTGGCGAAGCCGTTACTGTACCTAAACAAAGTAATTTTTACAAAATTTTATACGACACTTTCAAATTTTCTTTAAATATTGTTCGAAGAGAAACAGAGATACAGAGAAAAAAATGTAGTTCTATATAACAAAAGTATATATTTACCAAGAGCTCCATAACTTTGTGGCCATTTCGCTCGACTGTATTCCAAACTTGGGCTAAATGCCGATGTATTCCTATCAAAGGAATCCCTTCTTCCTGTCGATGATGCTCCAAGTCCCAAACCTGAACAGATTAACGTAGATTATGAAGAAAAAAAGAAAAAAAAAGAAACGAAGAAAGAAAGAAAAAAAAAAATAATAAAATAAAATCAATAAAGCAAATTAAATAAATTCATTGTTCTATTATTTTTCAACGATCTTTTTTCATCCTTCTAAATCATCTCTTCATATCCCCGGATTATGGATTCAATCGTTTTTTATTTTTGAATGTTTGACAAGAGATGTTTATAACGAAACAAAATGAAATAATTAATGACGATAATAAAAGCATGCAAAGGCCACGTTTAGTAAATTATGTACAACACAATTCTTTCACATCAGTCAAAGGTTGATAAGAGTTATTAATAAAACGTGAAAACGAGGACAACTCGACGGGATTAAATACCTGTTGTTTGAAGTTGGGCAGGTGAGCCCAATGCTCCAAGAGGAGAACCTCCATATCCCAAAGCCGCCAGACCTGCGGCAAGTCCTGATCCTTGTTGTTGTGCCTGTTGTGCGGCAACTGCTTGAGCTTGCGCAACAACCGCTGCTGCGCTGCACGCTGCCAGACCTGCACCGAAAGCCCGCAACCCATACACAACACTCTTAGTTATCAATGAGAATTCGGCCTGTGTTACAAAACCATATACCGTCTAAAAGCTTTAGTCGATACATCTGTACACATGCACACGTACACGATTTATTGCATTTATAATGAGATATCATTTACATATACATACATAAATATGTGTGTATATATATATATATATGTTGTATTTTAGTCACAATATGGTTAACAGATCGCACAGACAAACATGATTTATATACAAAATGCAACGATCGATGACAGATAGATAAGACGTTATAATATTAAAATTAGGATATATCAAACGTGATTTTTTCAAACTGTTTGAACATAAAAAATATACACATGCGCGTTCAACATGAAATCATAATATAGAAATCGTAACGTAGATGAACCGATCTCGTTTAGAGTTTGGATTCAATGGAAAAACTGTGACGTTTATTATCACTAAGATATATTACCTAAACATTCACCAGGCGTGGCATTACTATGCGATGTCGGGGTCGCCTGTGAATAAAGACTCGGTGGTGGAGGAGCAGGTGGTCCAGGAGGTGGTTGAGAAGGAGCTCTGTTCACTAGAACGGGTGCTGGGCTGACTAATCTCATCGGAGTTGCCGCGGAACTAAGGCCGCGTACACCGCCCATAACTATGGATCCATTTTGATCGTAATAAGCTGGTATAACCTGATATTGACCTTGAACCTGAATAAAAAATTACGAAGAAAGAAATAAATAAGTGTTACGAATTTTATTATGAATGGAATCTCAAGTAGGTTACGTTAAAGAAACATAAAAACACATTTTTTATTTGAACGAAAAAGAATTAAGATTTCTATACGTTTACCGTTTGTGCCAAATTATTTGCGGTGTCTTGGGCCGCAGCCGCCGCGGCCGCTGCCGAGGAAGGTGTTAACGGTCGTCTCGGTGGCGGTGGGGCCGCAGCTTGCGGAGGTGCTTGCGGTAGTAGACCAGCGGGATAAACCCACGGGCCAACTCCATAATACTGAGGTACCACTGGTGGCGGTGCACCAGCTATCAAAGCTCCTACATATGGTTCTTGTCCACTTATAACGGTGTACGGTGCCGTGGGAAAATTTTGTTGTTGCTGTTGTTGCTGTTGTTGTTGCTGTTGAGCCTGAGACGCGGCCAGATATTGTTGTTGTTGTTGCTGTTGCTGTTGCTGTTGTAGCAATTGTAATTGTTGCGGCGTTGCGCCTTGCGGCTGACTGCGAAACAATTGCTGGGAACAAGGAAAAAAAAAAGAAAAGAGAATAAAGAAAAAAATATAATTCGATTGGTATTCTCTTTTAATTCTCGATTTTATTTCTAGTTTTTTTTATATAGAACCTATGATTCTATTAATAAGATCTTTACGAACGTAAGAATAAAAAAAAAAAAGAACTGCGATCTATAATCATTCGCGTTCTCGTTCTTTTTCTTTTCTCGCAGGAGAACAGGCACGAAAATCCAATGGATACGGAAAATTCTACGAAGCCGAGAACGGTAAGTACGACGAAGAACGTCGAAGTTCCCTGTCGACGGTAACGTAAGAGAGGCACGTACAACAAATCGGAGACGCCGGAGTTCGTTCTCTTGCCGGCTTAGGTCGACGACCCCCTGCGGACGTTCACCGACGACGATCGTTCGCCTTCTACCACCACAGTTTGTACACCGGTTGTTGCTCCAGACTTTAATTGACCAACAAACGCGGCCACGATTTACCGTGACGCGTTGACTAGCTTTAAACGGCTAGAGAACTCCAATATACCTGGGTCCTTTTCCAATCCTCTTGCTGTCATCATATCATCAAAGTTTCTTTTACCGTTTAACGATTACATATTACGTCAACGAAAAACTATTTCTACGTCGATGATTTCTCTCTCTCTCTCCCTGCCCTCCTCTCGATCAACTTGTGATCGATATTTGAGAAGATATTTCAAACGTTTACCGATTTATTTTCCGGGAATATATTTTCCTATAGAAATATAAATTGATAGAATGATGAGAAATGTCGAAAGAAGAGCAAGACGAAGTTAGATATAAAAGCTATTTTATATATTATATATTATATATTATATATATATTATATATATATATATAATAGCTTCTATAAATAGCTTGATATATATAAATATATATATATAAGAGGCTAGTTTCGAACCATCCGAGCGACACGCTCCAGACCTCGAAGGCAGCGATGCGTTTCGGGTATTAACCTCTTCCGGAAGCAGCTCGCGCTTGAACCAAGGCCACGGTTACACTCTGCGAATATTCTACGCGTAAACCGCGAAGATTCTCTCTCTTCTCTCTCTTTTTCTTTAGATCTTTCTTTCCAATCTTCGTTAATAACGTTTACGCTGAGTGCGCCTACCCTTCCTTCCCCTTCTCTATTCTTCTTATTTCTCCTTCTACCTTACTCCCTACCCCTCCCTCTTCACCCCAATCCTCCATGGACGTTAATTAGACGAAGCAAATTTATTCTCTAAGATGCAAGTTGAATGTACTGTTTATGAACGAGACCAGAAAGAACGATATATATATATATATATATATATATATATATATATCGTCCCCATGATGGAGTTTCGTTAAACGCGAACAAGGTCGACGGGCTATTCGGTCATTGGCGTAATTCTGTAGCGTGGGGTTACGCACGAGAAGTCATTATTATATCGTATAGATGGTCGCCTCCCTATCGTCACGGTTTAACGGAGGTCTCAATGGAAATATCGTGACGATTGGGTTTGAAAAGAGCTTGGTGAAGTGAGCTTGAAAGGTCGAAGGGTGGGATAGGTGTTGTTGCGAGAATAAAGTGAGAGAAAGAGAGAGAGAGAGAGAGAGAGAGAGAGAGAGAGAGAGAGAGAGAGAGAGAAAGGGTTAGGGGAAAAAGGTGGAGAGAGTTCAATTTCGAACGAGTGAGAAACAATGCCGATGGAGAATATAGTTTTCTAGGTGAGAATACGGGCTGAGAGTTACGTGTCCCTAAAAGCAAGCAAGCAAGCAAACAAGCATGAGTCACACCATCGAATATATAAGGTTTCCACCACCAAAGTACGGTGTGAGGCTTGAAAATCCTTCTCTTCTAGAACAACGACGACAGTGCCATAATATCGATTCTTCCTTTTCGCCCATGCAAAACTCGAAACTCGAGTCATAGTCTCGGGTTAGCACGGCACGTTTATTGGCAACCATTATGTACTAGTGACTACATAAACCAACGACGTTCGTGGTGAATCTTAATAATAATAAAGTCGGCCGTTCATTTAAAAGGCACGTACGTATGCGAAGGAGGTAAAGAGAAAAGTCAAGTGGAACTTCGTCGAGAATGAGGAAGAAATATAGACGGACAGACAGAGAAAGGAAGAGAGAGGGGGGAGGGGGAGAGAAAGAAACGTTAAACACACGTTATGTACGTACACGTGAGATACTAAAAATCCGACACGAAAACGGGTTTGTTAGGGTAGAGAGTTCAATGAACCTATTGGAACACGCTCGTTTGACTTTCAAAACGATAACCCTCGAGCGATCGTTTTTTAACATTAAGTTTATACAACACGATTGGCCCGAATCTGTAACACTATTTTACTTATAACATCCCCAAATTACAAGAATAATAACAACAATAATAGCTAGTAATATTACCAGTAGCAGTAACAATAATAATAGCAGGTAAATAGTATGCAGTAATAATAATAGTATTAATAGTAGTAGTAGCAGTAGTAATAATAATAGCAGGTAAATAGTAGCTAGTAATATTACCAGTAGCAGTAGCAATAATAATAGCAGGTAAATAGTAGCTAGTAATAGTATCAGTAGCAATAGTAATAATAATAGCAGGTAAATAGTAGCTAGTAATAGTAGCAGTAGCAATAGTAATAGTAATAGCAGGTAAATTGTGTAACTAGTAGTAAATAGTAACTAGTAGTAAATAGTAGCTAGTAGTATTAGTACTAGTAGTATTAGTAATAATAATAGCAAGTAAATAGTAGTTAGTGATATCAATAGTAGTAGTAATAGTAGTGATGGTGGTGTTGGTAATATTAATAGCAGGTAAATAGTAGCTAGTAGTAGTATCGGTAATAATAATAGCACGTAAATAGTAGCTAGCAGTAGTATCGGTAATAATAATAGCAGGTAAATAGTAGCTAGTAACAGTTCATGTTCGTAACTAGAAATACAGCAAAAATCTCGACGAGATTCTCGTCACGAAAGGTGGAAGGGAGAGAGCAGAGCAACGAGACTTCGAAGCAGGAAGAGAAATCGAGGAACGCGCCGGCCTGGAACAGATACTGTCGTGAGCCTCGTCGAATCGGGACACGCATCCGCGATCGCGTTTGGTTTCGTCGTTCGATGCTCGCGAAACTCAACGCGATCATTGAGATCTCGGACAGCTAAATGACGACGACGTTTCCTTTTCGATTATTTTGAACTGAGCATTGTTCTTTCAGTTCTAGTTTTAATTTAAAACTCTATCAACTGATTCATTATAGAATTCAGTTTCCATGGAAAAAAAGAAAAGAAAAAAAAAAAAAAAAAAAAAAAAGAAGAAACAAAAAAAACGAAAAAGAAGGAAAGTAAAAAAGAAAAAAATGTTGAAAATTCGATTAAATCATTTAGATTGTTTTTTTTTTCGTCTTCTTTCAAATGGACAATAAAATAATTTATGTCAAACAGTATCGATTGAAAATATTACTTTTTTTTTTTTTCTTTTCTAGTTCTAGTTTTGATTCTAAACTCAATCAATTATTCGTTATTGAATCAAGTTTCAACAGGGGAAAAAAGGGAAAAAAGAAAAAAGAACAAAGAATCGATGATACGATTAAATAATTTATACTATCTTTTTGTTTAAATGGACAGAACAATTTATGGAATACAGTAGTAGTGGCTGCAGATGTTAAATTTTTTTTCAAGATGTAATCACAAAAGACGTAAAATATCTTTTTTTACTCGTGCAAGACTAATCTGTTGTCAACACTAAATTATTAGAGAACTCGATAAATTGTTTGTTCATTGAGAGTCAAATGTTTGGATAGAAAATTGAGGAATTCGATTAAATAATTAAAACTTTGTTCTCGGGTATAAATGGACGATAAAATAATTTATGGAAGCATAGTAATAACTAGAGAAGTTACAGTTTTGGAAATTTATGAATACAATAAACGTATTATTCTTTTTTTTTTCTTTTCGTTACCCATACTTTTTTTTATTTTTTTTTTTTTTAAATATTAAATCCATGTAATCCGTCGATCAAACAGATTTCAAATTTCATATTCGATTTCATATTCAAAAAAAGAAAAAAAGAAGAAAAAAAAGAAAAAAAAAAAGAAAGGAAAAAAATCGTAAATATTATTTTTCTCAGCAAATATATGTTAATTTTAATCGATATGAATAATACGAATTAATGTTATAACAGGGCGAGGGGGGGTTTGGATGTGTTTGGAAAGAAATCTCTGAGTTGAATATTACTTCCATGATAAAACAAATTGGTATGAATTTTCAAACATTAGGTATAGTATTATATATAAATATATATATATGCAAATTGACATAGATATTTATTGTACATATATACATATATGCCCTCTCTCTCTCTCTCTCTCTCTCTCTCCTTTTTCCTACCCCTTCTCTACCGCTCCCCCCCTCTCTCTCTCTCATAGCAGACCCGTTATATGATGAAGCAAACGAAAAAGTCGTCCTTGAACCTCGACGAAGTAGATTTAGAAACGAGATATTACGTAAATTTGCTGGCCCTCTCCTGAGATTGGCGTCTACGTTCTTGGAATAAATAATCTTGAATAAGCAATAACTAACTGAAGTAACGTAAGTGCACGCGTGCAGAAGAAGAAAAAAAAGAAAGAGAAAAAAGGGGAGGGGAGGGAAGAAAAAAAGAAAAGAAAGGAGAAGAAAAAAAGGATAGGCGGGAAGAGGAGGGGTAGCGGAATAAAGAGAAAAAGAAAAAGAGTTGTAATGTCGGCAACGAACGGTTTTATCGATCGGTCGAAGAACTCTCGAGGATAGAGAAGAGTTCTTCGTATTCAACGACGGAGATGACGTTGTAGCTCGGTCGTTAACTTCCGGACCATTTATCGAGTCGTGATTAGAATCCTATGATGATGATGATGATGATGATGATGATGATGATGATGATGATGACGACGATGAACGGTACCGCTACTATATTATTGGTGAGAGAATCTTTTGTAGAACGGCAAATTTGATTGGCCTTGATATCCTTCCTTC